CTTTTTAACGATACCTCGCCCTAAACGCCACCAATTTGTTTAATCACTTTGAACATAATCACACTGCCGAACATGGAGAGTGGACACTGTCTCTGTTTCTGAGAGTGGCTCAGAAAAAGAGGAGACGGATGAGCGCCGAAGTAATCGTTCATTAATCGTAATCGAGGTAAAAGTTTGAAATAATTGTGATATTGATTTCAAGTTGTATGATGATAATGATTAGAAGTTATATCAGCCCTTCGCCCAAAAACTGATTTTCCACATTGAAACTGTTTATAATTCTCTTTTAAAATTGTTGTGTTAACGATGATTATTTGGTACCATGAAATATTTTTCCTACATGTTGTTTTATGGTGATGCACGATATGCAAAAAAAAAAAAAAAATTATATTGTGATAATTTTTGTAGATACTGTGCTTGTCGGGCAGCAAAATAACTGTAATAGGCTGGAATTATCCTTTAAATCTTGGCTGTCAAATGCTCAGTCACCACTGTCCGATAAATGCTTATATATGTCATTCTGGAGGACGATTACAAACACTAATATACTGTTTAGTTTGGACAACTTGTTGGCTCACTCAGTAATGTGGAATTCAAGTCTTCCCATGCAAAGTGTAAGTGAGTTTAAAACTGTCTTTTATCTGATTAAAATAAAGGCTGTAAAACTCTGGGAGTCATCAGTGTGTCCCCGCAGCTCAGTCGTCTGTATGTTTATTGAGTGAGGAGTTCAGAGAGTAGAGTTCAGCAGGGCTGTGCTTCTGTTCTCCGTCTGAGATGGAGACGCAGTTAATAGAGTCGGGACTGCCTTCCTCGCTGAATCACTGTGTTTTCATATTCATACTGTGTGAGACTGAGACGGAGGGAGGCAGCTGGGGAGGCAGAGAGGAGGCGAGGGAAGAGATGTTTGGAGGAGGAGAACAGCTGTACTGCATTGTTAGAGAGAGACAGATGAGGGATGAGAGAGAGAGAGAGAGAGAGGAAAGCCCAGCTGTAGACTCAAACAGACTCTAGTGTGATACATATTACATGCATCAGATATTGCTCGTATCAACACTTGCTCGCCTTTACTCAAGCAGAATAAAACTTTCAGATCCTCCGGCGATGATGAATATAAAAATGACGCATTAGTCAGTTCATCGGGGGGCAGCGCCGCGGATCAAATGATGGGTAAAGCGTGTTTCTGTTGGGGCTGAGCAGTTCCTTTGCATGTGTTCAGATGAGTTTAATACGAGTGGATTTATATTTCAGGCCTTCCGAACTTTCAGACGCTCAAGTCTGCAGAGATAATGAGGGCGTCCATGAAAAACCATCCAGCTCACCAATTTACCAAGTGACTGAGTCTGCAGTAAAACATTAACAGTTTGGCTGTCAAGTTTCTCAGAGTTAAACCATGAAGGCGTCTCTCAACAGCTGCCATTTTGGACTCATGTTTAATGATCATACAAACAGAAATGGACTGTGGAGGAAGCACAGACGCAGATTTATACGCCCACCCACGGCAGCCACAGTCTGCTTGTTCACGTTCTACGAAAAAGAACAACTTCACTGCTTTGGACTTTTTGTGCTGTCACATTTTCTCGACTGATAACTTAAATTTGAAGGCTGCGTTATGGTTCTTGAAACCAAAAAGAAAAAATAGCTAAATGTTACATGATTATTTACGAATGAATCTGGACATTCACTTATATGCAGCCTGGAGAAGCATGTTCCAGTTTCTATCTGTTGCCTTCAACCAACGTAAATAACTGTAGTTTAAAATGACGAAGGTAAACAGCTAACCACACTAGGCAGTCCCGCCAGGATTTCGCAAGCTTTTTTTTGGGATTGTTGCAGGCTAAAATACCTGATTTTGCAGCAGCTTTTCTTAAAAGTTGTGATGTTTTTAGATGTTTTTTTTTTATCTTCATCATGAGAAAAAAACTAGCAGAGCGTTGTTCCGGTGGCTCCGGCAGCTCTACACCTATGGTTCCACCACAATGTTGCATGAGGTACAAAACAATCTAACCCTGCTTTCGGGGAATTGCTTTACACAGCCTTTAACAGTAATTTTTGTTGGTAAACAGTTCCACAATATGCTTAAAAACCTGAAACAAGGAAGTGAGTTTGGTGACATACATTACGGTTTTGCGGAGGGACTGATATGATTCAACTTGCGGGAAACTATCATGATTTTTTATAAAATTAGCTAAAAAGTTGCAGTGATTGTACGGAAATGCAAGGTCTTGCACAATTCACAGGGATTGGTTGAATTTGCGTTAATTATTGCAATCGCAACATCGTGACTTTCTGGAGGGACTGACTAGGGAGAAAAAGAACTTGTGTATTTTGGTGACAGACAGCTGACAAGTAGGGTCATGAGGCTGAAGCCTATCCCAGCATGCACTGAGCAAGAGATGGAGTACACTAAGACAAGTTACCAATCTATGCATAGACAGACCACCACTGATTACATTCACACCCACAGACAACCTGAAGTCGCCAGTTAACATAACCTAACCTG